TTGGTATCTCAATATAGAAGGACTGAAAGTTGAGCATAATTCACAAACTTCTGTGTTTGTTTTACAACATAGTTCTTTCATAATAGCTACTGTTAGATCACCACCTCGAGAACTTTGGAAGACTGGTCAAATGATGACATGACAACTGCTACTACAAGACTGTTGACATTTTTGTTTCAACAAACTGGTAGTATGTTATGTGTCAATACCTTAGCAGTAGTAGTAGATTTTAAATTATGAAAGAAGAAGGCTATGAAAGTGAGGAAGAAAAACGTTGTGGGATACAAACCGGATTAAACCACTGTGATTAAACTACATGTATGAATAAACTATGTTATTTCCTATAAAAGAAATAATACAATTTTCACCCCATTACACTTCTTAAAAATTAGCGGGGAAAATTACTGTAGAGTAATAAATTGTGGCACTCTCTTCAAGTAATAAAGAGACCATCCACACTTTAAATAAATCATTACAGCTAACAGTTTTATTTAATATATAACACTAAGCTTTGCTGTTCATTATGATTGTCATCAGCATCCTCCACATGTTTGTTTGAGTACGTGGTGTTCTGGTTGGAGCAGAACTTTTTCTTTTGTGTTGAAGGTGTGTACCCTCAGCACAACTTGCAAAAAAAATGTTTGGCGTCTTTCCCTTCTCTCATTTTCTTCTATATTTCTCCAGAAGTGCATAGCAAGTTTGGCATAAGCACCTTGATAAATAAGATGTTTGACCTGGGGTGTCTGTTTTGTTTCATAAACTTCTTCCAGTGCATCCTTAACACTCTCTACTTTACCCACTTGTTTCACAAGGGAATGTCTCTTATACCCTTTTGCCTTTACCTCAGATGCATCCCCACTGTTGATACACATAGACATGGTAATGGGTATGGAGGTGTGGCGAACGTTTGGTAAAATGTCCACAATTCATTTTATTACTTTTTTTCAAAATAAATAGCAAACATAATACAATGTGGAGAAGGATGTGCTCACGCTCACACCTGGCATCACTTCATGGCTGTATGTCTTTGGGTGCATATGTCATTCTCTCACAGACTTATCTATGTTTATGTTGTGTTGTTTGTGTCTCTTGTGCAGCGTTTTTTGTCTGTGGACTTGTATGTTCCCCTGTTGGATATTGATTGTATTTATAATTATATAGAAACACCAATCATTAAGCAAGCAAGTTGTTTATTGTTCTTTTTCGCCAAAAAAATGCACATGATTTTCTACATATCTGATGTGTGTGTGATACTTATCTTGAGCCTAGTTTGACAAATAAAAGGCACCAATGTCTCAATTTATTCAGTTTAAATCAAATCTGAAAATTATGCTTCTATTCCGATGTTAACATGTGTTGATTACAAATATTCAACTCTTCAAAATGAGGGTCATATAGCAATATTCAAAATCGTATGTAATATGCGAAATATTCGTATCAGGAGAAGATGGAACAAAATGTATCTACCCTCCTTTAGATTTAACGTCAGTCTTTTTTTAAAAACAAAACGCATCAAAAGCACAAGTTATAACAAAATGCAGCAGTAATTATAAATCGATGAACTTTTTTGTGTGCCTGTATTGTGGTTGTAGTCGGTAATAACTGCAGTGACTGTTTTTTTGAGGGGGCACCCCATCTAAAAAGTGGAAACAACCTATCAATAGATCCCACAATTATTTTCAGTGTTTGCTGCTATTGTATGATATTGCTACGAATTATTATGATTACTGATTGACATCATTATTATCTCATCGCTGTAAAATAAACCTTTTTGTAATGTATGTAAAAAAAATTGGCTTACACGCAACGGGTTGTAATATCCACTTAAACTTTAATAAAATGAATAATTTTATAACCACTAATTATGCCCGTACAGTGTATATGACAGACTATAGCTGTCATTAAAATGCACTTTCATTGAAAAAAAGCAACATTTTTAGATGCAACACTATTTGTGGTAAACAGCTTGTACAGGTTTTACAGTACAAACGTAAAATATAAAGAAGCCAATCGAGTCTTTTTTTCAACTTAGAACCCTAATTTTTAACATTTTTTTAATCTAGAGCTATAATGTTGAAACACATGTCTAGGTTACCTGCTGCATACTACTGCAGAAATGAATTCAAGGAAAAGGCAAGATACTCTTTTCCTGTTATCCATCTCTTCTAACAATTTAATTGGAAGATAACCTTCAGTTAACACATTTACAGGTCTCATACTTCTGAGGACAGAATGCTTCTAGAAGAAGTCAGCTCTGTGCATACTAACTGTATCTTATCCAGAAAATGTCTTTTAAAACAGTGCACAATTTGTGGGATATTCATAACTACCCCAACCAATTTCTCAACATGTCGGCAGGCCTTTTTTCTATTCACAATAGAGAAAGTTTGCACGGTTGACAATAAATATTGTACCACTGTACACCTTTATCCTTGAGAATACACTTCACTTCATTTTTCGTAACAGAATCAAGGACATTATAGGAATTCTTTGCTCTCATTATTATTGATAGAAGACTAATCTGAGCCTTGAATTGAAGCTTACGATGGACATAATGGAATACAAGAAGTAGACAATGGAACATTATTACTTCCCGTAACACTCTGACCAGGGAACTGTTCCCTACTCTGACCAAACCTACTCCTTTTGAGGTCGTGCTTTCGTGCGCTGCCTTTGTCCACCGGAGTTTTCGTTGTTTGCGTGCAGTTTCCAGACGGTTCACATTTTCCCTTACATTTATCATTATTATTATTATCCAACTACTGATTAATTTGAGAGCACAACTGTGGCACAGTTCAATACCTCGCCGGCTTATGATTTTCTCTGTCACCCCAACTATCTTTAATCCACTTTTGCCCGTTGCTTTCATGCAGTGGCCACGGGGTTCGGGAACAACATAGAACGCGTCATATAACCCGTTTGGATGGTGTTCGTAGTGTTGCAACAACACCCGTGTATTGATATGTGGCAGAGGTGTTAGCCTGCCTGCGCTGCCTTACGCAGTCACGGTAGTTTTGTATTCGATCGGCACAAATAGCGACTATACATTGGAAGACGATTATGGACACATTCAAGACGATCGTTTTGAAATACTTGGTTCGATTATTCAAATAGATATTTATTGATACATCATTTAATCACCATTTTACTCTTATGGGGAAAAATAAATAACTTCAAAACGTCTCTTTTGGGGACGTACGTCCGCCATTTTGAAAAACTACTTGTTAACGCACGATTAACCAGAATTTTCTATCAGTATACATTACCCATAATATCCTTAATTGATAATTTAAAAAAATAAGTTACTAAATTTCAACAAAACAAACGATCTATGTTGCTCGTAATTCAAAATTCGCTTAACTGTTAATTGGACATCGAGTTATTTAGACGTGGTTTTGCAAAAGCGGGTGTGGTTATTGAATTATTGGCATGGTAATATTTGTAACTTGATGTCTGTAACTCGAACAATCCAGCATCTCTATTTCAAGACATCAATGCTATTTTTTCACACTATTTCACCGAGCAAAATATATAAAACATTGCTATAAGTAGCAAAGATAACATTTATTTTATTATAATAACATTTTCTTTTCTGTAAAATAAAATATTACTTCTGGAAAGAATATTTCATAACTACAATTCGATTTTCGGAAATTTGCTACACACATTATAATTAAAAACATCTATACAAATGTGTATGCTTTTTCATTCTCATTTGGAGCATACATATATGATGTCGCATTGCTCATTTAACACAAAATTAAATTAATGAGAATGAAACGTGTTTAACATAAATTCCGACAATAAATCACACAAATATCTAAATATATTCCAAATATTTAGTATTTATGCTAACGATAACATAATAATTCAAATAAAGCCAGAAACTTGTTTTGCATCACCCACACGTTAAATATCCCACCAATAGAAAAAAAAAACTAGCCATCAAAAGACATCTACAGTACGCATAGGACCAAAACAAAAATACACGATTAAAGAGTTAGAATAACAACTAAACAAATTTATTCAGGATAAAACGGACGACAACAATGTCGAAACGTCTTTCACAGTATGTATTGCATTATAGTTCTCTGCGTACTGTATGACCTATTTTTGGCAATATCGATGTTTGCGATAAAACAGACTAGTATATATTCATAAATAACCGTGTTGCATTCCGGGAAGAAGTGTATTTATAAAATAAACATAGTTGAGAACAATTATTCAATAATTGGGATTTGTTTTATATAATTGAAAGATACAATCATAATTTTAGAACAAGGACCTTCGCATTTTTAACTTCGATACACGAACGAGAAGACTATATTGACCAAACAATCGAGTTTGGGATAATAAAAACCTAACGCATTGTGCGTTTCAATTCTATTCTAATCGCGTCCGTTATTGTATTGCATGTGCCTGTTTCACTACCTATTTAGATACTATTGATGAAGTGTCATTTGTCGAAACATTTAGTTATATTGTGAGTAACTACTGAAAACTTAGACCATGTACTAACAATGTATACTTAGTAATGAATGGTTTTCTTTCATTACAGGTGATAATTTGACGTTAAATGCAGTCGTATGTATTTTGGGGAATGTAAACAATGCTAGACCATTACATAATACTATGTTATTATTGACACGCTATTATACATTTAAATGTAAAATTGTTGGGATAAAACCAGACATTGGTGGTTTTAGATCATATATCAAATTAATTTACCATACAGAGAAGAAAGTCATAATTATAAAAAAACAGACAGGTAAGTCACAATAAAAAATGGGGAGAATTAATTGATTATTTTGAATCATAAGTTTGTATTTGAGTATTAACCTGTAATGTATTTGTGTATTGTATCTTTGTTTTGTTAAGCATATCAATAAAAAAAACAATATATAGTTTTCCGCCCTAGAATGTAATTACGTTTATACCGTATGAAGGAAGCAAATGATATCCAATTTGCTTTACATAATTAATTAACAGGATATGAACATTTAATTGTCGCCATCCCACTGAAATGATAGACCAGTGTCTTTCATCTTGTATTCGTAGAGTTTGTTGAATTCTTCATTTTGAGCCAATGTGAAGTGATTTCTCCAGTCTCCTATAATTCCTGTTAATAAACAGACAGAGATTAACTGTTAACCTGTTATGATGTATGGAATAAAGGATAACAGAATGAGGAGAATTTAGGTAATTGCTGCAACGTCGACTTCGATCTCTTTATTCTATGCTAGGTAGTTATCATTAAGATAGTTAACTAGCGGTCGGATTACTAGAACGTTTTTTTTTTAATATTTGGTTAATTATGTAAGGTCTCACATGAATTTCTATTTGTTATATAGCTAATTGTTATTCCGTGACACAGAATGAAATTATGTTATGGCCCACGTTTTGCTCAGAAAAAGAAAGTGATTTATTCCAGGGGTGAGTGGGTATGTATTGTGGTTGAATATTGTAAAATATTTACTTCACATGGTTATTCCTACATTTCTACAGCCTATGATATTCATTAACATAATCTAGGAACTGCAGGCTAGATTATAGAGCCAACATTCTATCATACTTTGTTGTTTTACATCCATGCATCTAGCAAACACCAAATTTGTGTTGGTTATTTGAATGTTCTTAGCCTACCGATTATAATAAACGCGTTGCCTTAGCAACGTCATTAATATTCTCATGTCGTCATTATCAGTACACGTTGCGTAAAACGTATCAAATCTAACGACTTAATTTAAATCTAAATATGACACATCAGGACACTAAAAGTTCTGCTGCGACAAAAAGTTTGGCAAACAACGTCTGGATATCTCTAATGCTAATGTTATGTTGCGATTGCTATAACAATAATTCTATTCAAAACTTAGAGAAAGTTGCATTACCTTTTCTTATGAATTGTCCTCGGTTTGTATCCATAACATAAGATTCGCGTCCGAAGTTTACCCCGGCATTGTTTTGCATGCGATGAAAACAGCAGTGGTCAATAATTGCTTCAACTAGTTTATCGGGAAGTTCTTTATTCAAGAATATGGAAATCTGCATAATTGTACTTCGTGGATTCTGTAATAATTAATTTGCATTGGACTAGTAATATCGAGTCAATAAAGCCTGTATTTTAAGAATTTAAATATGCATGAATAATAAATAAAATATGCGAATGATGAATAAAAATAAGAGAAAAAATATAGTGTGTTAGTGCCCCTCACACAATTATTTTGGTCAATTTGACAAAAAATAAGATATTGTCATTATACCTTTTTTATATCTTCGTATTTTAGGAACAACACAGTATCAGTATTCTTTTGAGCATATTTCCACCAGCCTATCACGTGATCAAACCAATCACCATAACAAACTGTTTATATTATTGTAGAAGAGAACATCTTGTTAATGAATTTTTGATATGCTTAGCCACATAAAGTTTTTATATACGTATTCTTGGATGTTTGAATTAAAACATAATAAAATGATCCATTTTGGGAAATTATCAAGACATGTTTATATTAAATAATAATATATGTATTCCCATGAATAACCATTTTAATGTTTTATTTCTATGTCGAGTTATTAACCGTGATGTCCTGGCTTAAGCTTTCAGTTCGGAAACGAGGCGTGCACATCATTCGCGTTGTTTGATCACGTGCACATTCCATTGATTTTGAGCTCATGACTGTAACTAATACTCATACGATTGCGATACTTACGCTGTTTATTTATAAATTTGCGGAAGAATACAGCCCAAGAGCCTTCATAACAACCATGAACACGGCACATCTTATACAAATAGTAATACGACACAAGCATATCTTTGGGATTTCTTGCAACATATATGAACTGAAATTACAATTATTTGATGAATTAATATTTTCTGTTCATATTATATGCTCTCTTTTTTGTTCAAGCTGTGCTGGCTATCAATATTCCTGACAGAATACATCCTGGAATTTATATAGGCTCGGAGTTTTGTTTATATTGTACACTGATTATAAATAATTAATGGTTTTAGCATTTGTATATGATATATGATAAACGTTCGTGACATACGTTTAATTAGTTACCTTGCATTTACGTTTAATTGGCTCTTTTGCAAACAAATTATACTTGAGATGTGTCCTCATTAGTCGGGGAGAAGGAATAGACTTCGACCACTGAAACGCATCATTAAATGACCGAAAATCCTTTATTTTAGGGATAAATGACACATATTGATGTAGAAAAGTAGGCAACATCATTCTTATTAATATAAGTACCCGGAGGATTATATTGAATCTGGAAAAGAAATGTAAACTTATTTAACGGACATGTGACAAAATGTCAGGAAAATACCTCATGTTTGCCTATACTGATTCTACACGAGAACCTGGTAGGATTTGATTTTCTTAATTAATAGCAAATGCTAATTTCTGTAATGGATAAGCGTGTGAGCATGCAACATACCGACGTCCCACCACCATGTCATTTCAATGACGCCATCATGAAAATACCAGCTATGCGAGAATCGTTCGCGCATGAAAACACAAACCTGATATGACCTCATTTCTCCGTGGCGCCTTTATTGATTCATTTTAATGAGGAGAGAGTTGATTCATGTGCTCTCTCGATTTTTTTCGTGGAAATTCCTGTACATGAAAACGTCGTTTATTTATTCGTCGAAAATGACAGCTATTGTGCACACAGTAAAGTATTACTGGCGTTGATAATATGAAATTATTTACCCGTTTTAGCGATCTAAATACACCGATTTATGCACCGATGAGATTTTCCAAACACGGAAGAGAGAGGTTTTGTGTGACTCCCATGGTTTGAAAAAGATTGTTTTTCCTATAAGTAACGAGCGTTGCCCTATTGAAATCTTTGTAACGTAGCAACCGGCCACTTTTAGCTTTGTTTCAAATAAGTAAATAAATAAATAAAGCAATGTAATGCCAATATTTTTATAGTTTAATACTGCATTTGGTTATTTTAAGCAGATATACGTTTTTTACTAACTCTGAAGATAGAGATAGTTCTGTTGATGAAACTCCGGCAGTATCAGAATCTGCAATTGTTTCAATATCAGAAAGACAAGTCTGTCGTCAGCATGAAATCAAAATAATTGTAAGGTATAACACGAGTGTCACTGATTATAATATATATAAATATAATCTATGACATTCTTGCATATGTTAATATGTTAAATTAAAATATTGGATATTCATTCACCCCATTGTGGAATATAAACTGATGTATGCTTTCTATAACAAGATGTGATATGTTGGTGTGCAGTAGATTTACAAGCATTCCATGCATTTTGTCATCCAGACCAATCAGCAAGCTTATCCATTTTTCTGACTGTGGATTTCGGGCCAACCATCTCCCGACACTTAAGCCAAATAAAAGATTCCATTTCGGTAAAGAGGTTGTTTTCTCTCTAGATTTCTACGTACTTCGCAGGTTATTATTACTATTATCACTAGCTATTCATTTTACAACAGTTGCTTATTCTATTAGATGAGTTGCTTAAATTTCTTAATTTAGGAAATGTATAGTACAACCCAATCTCAATATTACATTAAGGTTTTTCCTGTTGCGGTTCTAGTTTTGTTGGTAAATGGAAGAATGGAAATGTTAGCTCATATATCTGCATGCTCACTGTTGTGTCATGTTGTGATTCAGTTATACTGCGTCCATGAGTGATGTGATACTTTGTTGGCTGTGCCTATCCTAGTAACAGACAATATTGTTTTGTTATTTTGCAGTTTTTGTTGTACAGTTTACAGTTATAGATTTGATGGCAGTAGAGATTGCACATGTATGTTTAGATTTAGTGACTAACGGTATGGCGATTAATCACTTTAAAGAACATGCTAAAACTGGTCCTGCTTCTTAGTTACAATTGCAGGATCCTGAAACTAACATATACCCCAACGTATAAAACCTATATCAGCTCTGTTTCTCGTATGGTTTTCACTACTGCAAACTGAACTTGAATAACAACCGTGCAGAGGAACCCTACATGTTTCCTGGAGTTTCAGCCAATCATAGTAGACATAGTTCTAGCACAGGATTAACTAGTCAATTATAATTGAAGCCTGTCGAGAAGTTCCTGCTTTATTAGCATTTGAGGTGCAAACAATTTCATGGGTAAAGACTATACAAAAAGAAGAGCCAAGAAAACAATTCGAGAGCCAAAGAGCAACAGTAGTCAGAACCACGTGAAAAACCTTGCAGCAAAGCTAACAGACACCTGAGTACAAGCTGATAAATTACAGCTTCAGGTAGATGATCTGAAGGAAGAAATTTGTCATATTTATG